TTCATCGATGGCCCCGGGTTTAACGTTACACGCGTGTCTGGTTTCTGTTCTCGGGCGGTTTCGTGCGTCAGACCGTGGACCCAGCACACGCGTGGATCTCTTCGGACTTCATCCCTCTTTCTTCTCTCTTTCACTCTCCGTTTCTCGAGTGTACCACTTGGCATTCCACGCCTTCTCGAATCTGGCGTCTAGAAACCTTTTTTTACTCTTTCTCGGGACAGGGGAAACGGAATAAATTTGCCGGCTCGCGACCGGGCTTTAACGCAGTCGGATCTACGAAACGCAAGCTTCCGACACGACGATCGGGGTAAATCTTTAAAAGCGTGTAATGACTAATTACTGTGCGACTACACGTGATCGAAACACGTTTCGTCGGACTCTCTGTGAGCCTACGATTCCCCCCATTCGTCGGAAAGTACAATACCCATTGACCTATCTACGCACTTGCGTTTCCTAAAAATACTGACACGCATTTGAAATCCACCCTGTACATCGTATCCAGCTTTCACTCGTCTTCGAGTCGAGATTGTCCGGCCAAAGGTAACCGTCAGTCTGTGAAGTGGCATTGTTATGAGAAAAGAAGCGCCCTCGGGTGCGTAGACACGCTCTCCGAAAGCACCGACGACTTTAATGGCAGGTTCCAACATCCGCGTCGAGTCGTTGTCGCTCCAACGCTGTTTCGGCATTCGTCGAATGGTTTTCCTACGAAGGAGGGAAAAAGCGAGCTATGAAACTCGCAGAGAGCCGTAGAACGAATGACAAGCGGCTCGGCTAAGTGCCAGGCTCATTACTTAAATGGTCCGTGATAAGGGATCTGTCTTTCCGTTTGCCGAACACAGTCTCCGAATCACGCCAGCAAAATGGGTGGAATTTGTATTCGAAATACTAATAAAATTCTTAATCGATTCAACGGTTCGTTTTTTACCTTCTTTAAATTATGAAATTATCCCCGTTTCGATGGCTCGTCGCTACCCAAATTGCTTCCGCTTTCGCGCGACGAAAGAGTTCTCTATTCAAGGATCCAGCGGGATCTTGGAATTGTCTGGAAAGCCTGGAGCCAAGTCGACGAACGATAACAGTGAATTGTGACAGCGAACACGGGGCTGCAATTTTTAATCGTCCGCCATATCTCTTCCGGCCAGGTACGCGCGGAAGCATTTTGTAAGCGGTCGGTTGGATGTAGGTTCTGTGATAACACGGGTTAAAAATAGGTGTCGCGGAACGATCAATAGCCGCAGTTATCAGTCAACTCGACCTATTGTTCGAAAAAAAAGGAAAAAAAAAAAAAAAATGGAAAACGACGGAATCGTTTTCACGATGGTTCCGTTTCATCGTTTACCTGGCGCGGAACCGAGAGAGATTTCCATTAGGAAGACGATCCTTGGACAATTATTAAAATTTTTTTTAAATTCTAGAAATATATTTTTAACAAATGGGTCTAGCAACCACCTGGAAGGTGGACATCGATTTCGATTATTGTTTGATCGTTATTGGTCGGAGCAGGCGTTTCGAAGAAATCTCAAACGACAAAACAAATCGTATAAAATTCCAAGTCGGTTGTCGACTTCTCATCGTTCCACCGAAGTCTATGTGTCTTCTTTTGGTTTCTCGCTCGATTCGGCTTCTCTTATTATGCAACCTGTTCCGAAGATTCTTGGTGCAACGTCCCTCAACTCTCTGATCAAATCTCGCAAAAATCCGGTCCCCGTTTAAAAAATGTGGTTTAAAAATGGGAAAAATGGTAAGAAAACGTTGTTCGGCTTGTTAACGAAAGCGGCATCGATATACGATTTTTTCCTTGCTCCGTGTAACTTATGCAACCGATCGTACGTTTCTAGAAACAATTAAAAATGGTACAGCGTGTTCGCATGCTTGCGCAAAATTCGCACGCGCGTTTTGTCGTAAAAAGACATTGTTCCCGAGCAGTGGTGCGTATTATACGAAGAAACTGCATTTTAATTAACAGTATTTCTAAGCAAAGAAGAGCCCCTCTGCTCCTAAATCTTATTCTATGCTAATTTTATTATCTCAAATCGCAGTGCCCGACACGACCGCGCTTCGAAGATCAAAAGCTAATTTCACTCGTCCAACCGTCGTTACTTTCCTTTTCTCTGTGTTATTTGCTCTGAAAACATCGTACGAGAATTTCTTGGTGGCGAATCTGACGCTAGCATTATGCAAATATTGCTGTAACTGCAAACGTGATTCGGTTTACGAGCATTTCGAGCAATTTTACTACGACCAGACTCGACACTTTGTCGACCGTATCAGCCGTGTTTGAGCAATCGTATATTATTATCCAGGCTGATGTGTATAACAATTTAGGTCGGACTGTAGAACAGCTCTATTTACAGAAACTTAATTTTTCACCTTGCTTTCGTAGGTTAAAGGTACCTAATATGATCTAGCAAAAGTTAAATTCGTCTCAAAGTAAACACGAGTTATACAAATTTCGTTCAGGATAGATTAGAACCGATTTCAGACGTTTAAGACGATTTAAGTCCACTTGCAGGCAATTCGAACGAGAAATGTATGTACGTAGCATTACCTGGTGAGGCAAAAAAGAGAAGATAAGTATGTTTTCAGATCTTTCACATCATTTCCTACTTAATGGTAACGTTATTTCTATTTCGCGATACGCATTCACGCCTATTTCGTTACGACGAGCGCGAAACACGGTTCAAATTATACGCTGTAACTCGTAAACCAAACATTTACCTTACATCAGATTTATGTTATCTGAAAGGGTATTAGACGAGGTATAATTGAGGCAGTTGTTTGTTAACGACGACCCCGACTCGTTGCAATTTCTTTACTTCGTCTTTCGCGAATACGAGGTCGCGCTCGTGAAATCTACTATTAATTGTTCATAATTTTCACAACAAAAATGCAAACGAAAACAACGACTCACGCTGGTATGTAGAGCAGAAGAATGGCTTCGTGCGTATTGCAACAGGAACTTAGATCGGATACTTATCTATCGAGATAAGATTCTAAACGTTGCCTTCCGAAGATAGTGTTCCTGCAACAACGCCTATCCATCTTCATTCCCGAAGACGGACTACTTTCTTGAAACATGTTCGACGCAGTCGAATACGTTTCCAACGCCGCGGCCCGTGAAAGGAAATTAAATAAATTGAGCAATAAATTGGACTTTTCTTTTTACCGCTCAGCTCCAGCGATTGGTCTACGAAAACGTTTTCTTATTTCACGTTTTAAAATCTATTTCAAACTTCCAGCGGATGATACTCGGTTGGTACTGGTAGCAATAAACAGAGCAGGAAGCAATTATACGAATTTATTGGAATATCAAGCTATGCATTTCAATAAATTTATATAATTGTTTCCTGCTCTGTTCGTTGCTCTTATTACCGAGCGTATTCTATTCTATTATTATCAGGCGAGGAAAATAGAGCATTTCGGTTCAAGGTGCGTCACGAAACGCGTATTGTGTTGCGCGTGTGGTCCTCTTGTCTGGTAAAAACGGGTCACACGTACGGGGACCAAAGTGACTTCGATGTACGGCATACAGGACGTGCATTTTTGCGTTTCTTCTTCTCGCGGCGTGAGAAGAAATACTAGACAGCTACGTTCCGCTGATATATCGCGCCGGGATACGAGACACCCGGCGTTTCAGCGCGCGGATAGGGCACGCATGGATGACTGGGAACTCTCGTTCCGGGCGCAAGGATAATCTTGATCGAGGACGTCGGCAACGATGCGAGATTATATAAATTAATGATAATCGGTCTTCGAGCGCCGTGCCTATGAGCATCGTTTCCGTTTCTTTCCTGCCTAGGAAAACCGCCGCCTGCCGGCTTACGCGCTTTCCTCGATGTTACGTCGCGGATAGTAACGAGAAACTATACATACGTGCAATTATCTCCCAGAATATTCAATGTACAAACACTTTTTCACGAACGCGATGCGTTCTCCAAGATGGCGCCTCGACTGCAACGCGCGTACAACTTTGCGCGACAGAGAAACGAATCGAAACGAATTAGCGGGACGCGGCCTTCCAATCCCAAGGGATCTCACTCCGGAGACAATAATGTCGGTTCCGCGAATCGTCGCGCGCGTTTAGCATCCGCGTCGCAATTTTGCGCGCTCGCCAGCTCTCCGGACGCGGCAAAAGCCAACGTAAATTATATCGCGAGTAAAAGAAAAAGCCCACCGGACAACCGGCGCACAGAATCCCAGACACGCACGGTTACGCGCTTCCACACACGCAACGAGTTCTCTCGCGTCTACCATTTCAACGAAGAGTGCACCGAGCGTGCATCCACCTGCACCGCGCGGATGCATCCCCCCGGTAAGGTTGCCTCGATAAAAAAGTTAACGGCCCGCGTTTAAAGGATTTCGTAATGACGCGCCGCGGCCGAGAGGTCGCGAGGAACATTATCGCACGACGGTCGTTTCGAGCCCGGCGTATATGCCCCTTCTTATTGCGGTTAATTAATTACGGATCTTAGATGCCGGCGGTCCCATTTGAACTGAAAAATAATTGAACTGGATTCCAGCGTGTCAAAGTCGCGTCCGGGGACCATGGGTTACCGGTCCCCCCCCCCCCTCCGCCCCCCCCTCACGGTCGATCGCTATATACGACCACGCCATTTTAGTTCGTCGGTTGCAGCGTTCCTCGCGACGCCCGACGAATACCGATATGACATAATCAATAATACGCTCGTTAACCCTTTGGTTACGCGATAAACGTTGGACGAGCAATCTACAGCATAGGTGCTCGTTGTTCGTTCCTTAAAACTCGGCAGTCGAGAAAAGAATCTCTGTAATCTTGCGTTAACCCTTAAGTGGATCATTGGTAAGTTGATTTCCATTTACCAAAATCAACATTAAGTAACATAATTCAGTAGGGATTGAGAGTCCACTTAAGGGTCAAGTCGTGATGGCGGAGAAAAAATTATTTAGACAAAGACCTTGATAAATAAAAAATCAAGAACCAGCTGCTAAATATTATTGGGATAAAAGAAGAAGCTACTCACCAGTGTCCCTGATACGAAGTCTTGACGAGCTTGACGGTGAAGAGGAACTGTATGGCGCAGACCAGAAGGCAGCACAGATTTAGGGAGAGGGCGAGGGCGCACAGCGCCAACGTCACCTCGTACACTATCGTGTACTCCTCCGGGCTGATCAAGCTACTCGGCGTGACCGTTAACGGCGAGATCTTCAGGAGGAAGATCAAGGAGAGTAACGCCAGCAGCAGGGACACTAAACACAACAGACCGAGGCTGGTGAGGGTCTCTTTGGCCCCGGCCTCGTAGTCTTTGTGGTTCCTGGACAGGGACGAGGACCAGGAGGCGTTCAACGGGAACGCGGTGGAACCACCACCGCCGGCTAACTGTACACCTGCAGTCGCAGCTTGAAGCACAGGTGCTGGGGAGGGTGTCGTTTGGCTGGGTAACCTGGACAGCCTGGAGATGTCGAAACCTCCGTTCGCCTTGGGTCTGCTGTCCTGGTGCAACGGCACCTGCGACACCGCCGTTTGTCCCAACGCGGTCGTCACGTTGTTGTTGTTGTTGTTGTTGTTGTTATTGTTGTTATTGTTGTTGTTCCCGCCAGCCACGGGACTGACGCTGTTCACCGAGTGCTTCGACGTGGACAGGGTGGAGAGGTTCAGGGCGTGGGAGTGGTTCAGTCGTTGCGAGAGATTGTTCACGCTCAACTGAGAATGATTCAGCGGGTGTCTGTGCGTCGAGGACGGCGTGGTCGCGGCTTGGTGGGTGTTCACCGGCCTCTGCTGAGACGGATGAACCACCGAGTCGTAGACGTCGACGCCCCGTCCGCCATTCGGCGCGCGTACCGTCCCGCTTTGGCTGTAGTGCTGGTCCTGATGAAGGCTGGAGTGATGATGGTGATGATGGTAGCCGCCGTGCAACGAGCCCGAGCTCGCCTGATAGTCATTGTGGTGATGCCTGGAGCCCGCTGACGACGGTTGCCCCGTTAGGATGTGCTTCAGCATTACTCGACACGCTGGGTCGCCGAGAGGAAGACTGCGCCTCTTCCTGCACCTCTACATGGCGCCACGCGTCGCGGTGCCTCTCTTCCGGGACTTTCAAACACGGGACACCCTTTCCTAAGACGCGAATCGGTGGGTTCACGGGACGATTACGTTCCTGGGCTCAAGGAGTTGCTGCACACCAGCTCCACCATGGCGACGGCGTTCACCAGGCAGCCTACATAGCTGCCTTCGCGCTCAGACTTCGTGGAAGCGTCTCGAACGCGAGGGACACGCGGGTTCATCGACAGAGAGCATCGTCGCCGGGGACATGATCGCACCAGGGCTCCAGAATTACTGTTCGTGGTTCCGCGAATATCACTCGAACGGGGAGCAAGAAGCGTCCGATCGTCCTAGTCCTGCGACCGGGCATTCGTCTCTCATCCTTTCGGCTCACTTCCTCGACATTCCAGCTGTCTTATTAACACGTCCGCGATTTCGCTCCTTCCCCCGTCGCCCCTTCCCCCATCCACCGTTTCTTCCACCGGTCACAAAAACTCGTCGACGTTGTCCGACATCAGGTGGAACGCACAGGAAGCGACATCGGTACGCGGATAATTGCGTCCAGGGTTCGGTCGCTTCCTCAAACCGACGAACTGGATTCGCCTCTGTCTTTCAAAGTCGGTTTACGCCATCGGCGAGCGAACGATGCTGCCGCGACGGGAAATACCGTCGTGTCTACGAACACGGTCGAATCCAGTTTTTCCGTGTATCCTTTAACGGTCGTTTCCGCTCTGGGTTCCAGCGATTCGTCGACGCGCACGACCCCGGGGACCCTTTCAGGGGTGGGGGGACGGAATCACTGGAGACACGAGTCTTGGCGGCGAAACGAAACCACGATTAAGGCATGTTTAAATTCGCGGGACGACCTTGCCGATGAGAATAGCGGTTCGTTAGGGCGGCTGTAACCTCGGTCTGCCTCTGTGTCGATTTCCAGCGAGCTCGTCAGCCGGCATGGCTTCCGAGATGGTCCCTCTGAAACAGTCCGAAGATAATAATTAATGAACCGTCCGACCGTAAAAAGAAGGATAGATATGAGCCACAATCTACCCCTACCCCTACCGTGACCCATTTCCATATCTCGCGTAGGGTCCCTTTCGAGCTTTTATCTCGTTCGGATCGAACACGGGAAGTTCTGGAAATACTTTCGACTTTCCGTACGTCCGTAGGAATTTTCGTTCTCTACGGGGGAGTATCCTATTAGAGTTTTTACGCGCTCCCGTGCAAATTTAAGTCGCATTAAAATTATATTACGTACGTCGATAGATTCCCACCGAGCGTTTCGGAAGACGGTAAAAAGTTACGAGCGCCGCGTAAGTCAATAAACAACCAGCAAATTACAAGGTGGGTTCTCATGACGCGGTTGCATAAAGTTACGCGTCCAAATTACAGCATCGCGAGGAGCACGGGGAGTGGGACTCGGTGGCAGGTTACTTCCTCAAGTAGTCGAGCGGTATATTTTCCGGTCGTTAACTTCCCCATAATGGGATATTAAAGAGCCGGGACGTTTATATCTGCCGCGACGACTCTGCAATTTTTCAACCGTTTATTATCAAATTACCGGTACGCGTATCATTTCCACGACGAAAATGTAATGACGGAGTCGTGCCCCCAGTCGTGCATTACGCTCGCAAGTAGCGCGATATGGGACTTCGAGTCTATCGTATATTGTTTCTTTTATTAATTGTTATTCACGAAGATTCCGTCTTGCCTCTCTTTCGTCTTCTCGTTCGACGAAACGTGCAGATCACGCGAGAACTTCGCATTCCGCGAAACATCACGTGAAAAGTCGTCGATTCGATCTTGTGTGCCATGCACCGTAGGGGTAGCGATTAAATCGGCAGGATATACTTTATTGGCTATTCCGTTATTACAGGCCGTGTGTCTGCGGGCGAATAGTCATTATGGATCGATGAACTCGATTGTAACGCGACGCGCCTTTGGATCGTACGGAGAAAACACGCTTCTGTGCTGCGTTCACAATAGAACCTGCTGTCGTCCTTCGAGCGATCCACGCGATCGAGGGACGGCTTCGATCTTCGAGGCGTTGAAACGCTCGGCGAATCGACGCGAATCGCGGAAACCGCTTCGAGAAAATCCAACGTTTTCCACGTTCGTGTTTTCATCGTAATATAGGTCACGCTACATTGGACGATATTGATCACGCGATGCGTACGTTTTTCATGCCTAGAAAACTATCGTTCGATCAATATTTATTACCTGTTTCAGAAATTTGGCGCGACTCTCGATTTTAAAATCAAAATTTAAAGATACCAGTTCCTGGTAACAAATTTAAGTAATTGAATTATAAAAATTCAAAGAAAATACGTTTCTGGAAGACAAAAACAGGACTGATCTATCCTCCAATTTTCCAGCAACGGTTCGATTATACTATTCTCGAAACTAATCGCTCTATCGAAGGGTCAGTTGCAGTTCTTTCTCGCTTCTTCGAACGAGCCTCGCTTTAATACCGTTACCCTCGTCCACTTAGAGGCCCGCAACGCTCGAGTTGAGCCGCGTTTCGGTCGTACGAGCCGGAAGATCGAGGCTATTCTCTCGTCTAAAATCGATGAATGGAAACGGTGCACGGAAGACATGCAAATCCCAATGAAATATTGATGTTCTTCCAAGCAATAGCGACAGAACGTAACAGGCCAGTCTGCGATTGTACCGTTCGCGACGCTTCTGTTGCTCGCTTTCGAAGAAACCGACTGTTCTTCCGCCTCGGGCTCCCAGTATGCTAACGCGTTAACTATAACACGCGCCACCGATGAGATCATACCGAGTTTCATCCTATTACCAAATCGAGTAACTTCCTGCGTCTCGAGATGTAAAACAATCGAAGATAGCGCGCGCGAGCTGCTTTTTGTTTCGTTCGGTAGGGTAGATAGAGCCCTTATCGAGCTCTATATTCCTCCAACACGCAAAGTAGATCTCCAAACTTAATTTTAATTACGAGTAACGTGAACGTTTGTACCAGTACAAACAACGAAAAGCAACAGTTGGGGATTTTTTTTTGCAGCAACGTACAAGCACTTCCTTCGATCCAAAGCCGCGAAAGTCTTCGAACAGTTGCGGCCTCGATTTATCCGTAATTTCAACGCCAGGCGACGCAAATTGTTAATGCAACACCGAGCTTAGATAAAAACGAACGCGGCGTATACGTAAAAGGAAAAGCGTCGTCGATGCTTAAACGCCGGATACTATTATCGTCAGTTGACCGATAAGGAGATACTAGTTCGAACAGTGGCGTTTCAAGATCACTCGAGACTCGCGTCGCGAATCTAAAACTTTTCTTCGACTTAAGGCAACGTAAAGTCTGATTTGTATACTTTACCAGTGGTTTATCAGTTTCTGAATCACGCTTATTAACACGTAGGATACTTGTTAAATAATGCAGTCGATTTTTGACTCGATTAAAATACCGTAGGTAACAACCGAGCACCTAATCAAAGCAATCATAACAGCGTGACTGTGTTAGTTATGATTATAGTTCCGATCCAGTTTCTATTTCCAAGTATTCGATCAATTAACATTGTAACTTTAGTTGGTCTCGTATAAATAATTCTTCCGTTAATATATTACTTACCTACAGACCAAATAACCGAATCAAAAATAATATAAACTGTGTTTAATATGAACCGTTCGAACTCCTATCAGAGATTTAACAAGTACTCTATGCATGAATTTAAACCAACCGAAACGAAAAATAATAACGACTGAATGGCAAGTACAGATTCTAAATTCCACTTCTAATTACAATTTTCTGCGTCTGAACCTTTCATATTCTCGTTCAGAAACATTATTCATATGGAAATTACCTAACACGATCGCTTCAATTGCAATTTCCACCGAGTCTCACGCATTCTCTTGCTACGGAGCATAATTTAAACAAAAATTATAAACTATAATTACTAATCCAGTTCTCTAGATCTAAACTCTACGAGTTGGCTAATTATCGCGTTGCACCGCTTAATTTAGATTGGACCGGAATAGGTGCATGAATAAAAACAATTCTAATTACAATTAAACTTCAGTTAAATGCTCCGTGCGTTGCCTCGTTATCGCAATGATGATGCTGCAAACCAAATAATAAAACTTAATAGAAACGTGTTTTTCTACGCTTCGAAATTCGTATTGTTGCTTTTCGAGGTCACTGTTCGCGATTTAAAAACGAAAATACGACTTCGTAACGCGAGTAAAACGTCGACCGCTGTATATTTGTCAAAGGATCCCTTCGTCGAATCGCTCGGGACAGAAATGGGTTAACAAGCTACGTCTCCGCGAACCGCTTCGCCCGATCGAAACGTAAATTAACAAGGGACCATTTGCAATAGCGGTTTCTCGGTCTTTCTCCATCTAAATCGTCCATATTGGCTCGTTAGCGCGACGTGTACGCCTCCGTTACCCAAGGCGTCTCTCGTCGTCCAAGGTCTGCTCAACGGTTTTGGATTTTCACCCGGGTAACATGACTCGGGTTCCCGCGAATCTCTGGGCCCCCCCCCCCTCCCCCTTCCTCCGTCGCAGGTCCCCCTTCATCTGGCCGCGATGTTCCAGATCACGTGGCACGATCCTGAACCGCAAGGATCTGCGCAGCGAAGGAGAGCGAAGAAGGAGAGCCCGAGAGAGGCGGCACGGAGAGAATCTACACGAGGAGAGGCCGTTGTCAATAGCCAGACTTGACTCATAGAAACGGGTTCCGCTCGCATTCCGGACGTCCAGCCTGCCGTGGTCACGCTGGGCTTCGGGTCCAAGCTCACCACGCCGTATCTATACATATACATATACACCTATATAGCGCGACTCCAAACGCCATTTCTAGCTTTTTTTATCGATACCCCGGGGAACACCTGTAGTCCACCGAGCGGTCTTCGTTCGAAACGCCGCGGATTCGCCAACCGATCGCCTCGAACGGGACCTACGGGTGTCCTTTCGACTTCCTTCGAGGCTCTGTGCATAGTTCCTAGCAAAATTGGAGGGTTCGAAACGTAAAACAGTTCGATCGTGCTGATATCGCGCCAGGGTGCAAAGTTTCGATAAAATCGGCGAACCCGGAGGCCTTGCCTTCTTACAAAGACTGGGTTACGATCCATCGTCGGTAGAGTGAATTTAGATCTTGGACAATTTATAAATGATAGAATTCTCGAAGGGTCGTAGTCAGCGGCAGAGCCGTGGGAACGTCAGAATTTTTTCCAACGATTTCCTGAATTTTGCATACGACCCGCAGAGGCCTGCTGCATGCGGGCCTCGGATACAGGAACGTCGCGTTCTTCGTTTAATTTACGATACGTCAATTTGCTATTGAGAAGCGACAACTATCACCGGTCCTCCGGTCCTAATTAGAATCTGCGCTTTTCCTGCCCATAAATAACCAAACTGAAAACTGCCAAGGCCACGCGGCGTGAACATCCCAAATCTCCGAAATAACGACAAAGTCACGTCCGTGTCGTAAAGTTGGAAACCACGTTGCGAACGTCAACCGAACCTTTTCGATGACGGCGCCAATTCGGAGTCGCGGTAAAGAAAAAGGTCTTTTCTTGTGTAAGATTTTCCGTACAGCCTTCATTTTACGAACTAAAAAATGAGAAGAAGGGTGTTCGGAGTGAGTCATAGAGTTCGAGTGCGAAATTGTGCAAAACAAGTTAACTTTAAGGTATCGCGTTTGAATAACTCATCGGATAATAAACATATCGTATTATTCGATGCATCATTCCAATGCATTGTACGCTATTCCCATGCTAGATTTCGCGAGACACCCTGTAGAAGCGCTTGCACGTGCATCAGGTACAAACGAGTGCTATACATCATTTTCACGTTAAAATGGCAAACGACGAGAATGGTTTGCTCGTTGCTCGTGATCGCGTCGCGAAACACGATAATTTTAACACTTCGAGGACGTAACTTCTCGTACGTGAAACGACCTGATTCGCGTATCGATACGGATTTTGTTACATTGGGAGAAAAACGCAATTGGCCAACCAAATGTTCCTAGTGACTGATTGAAAAATAGCTATAAACGTACCGCGTTTGATGATTTCAATTCGTTCCGATCTATCTAATCCCTGCTCCGCAAACAGTGCCCGATTGGCTCATGGTACACGCAATATACATACATTGTACATTCATGGCGTGTACCGTTTGGAGAAATGAATCGAAAGAATGTAATCTCCGATCTTCATCTTCTCGATTCGTTCCTCAGGGTCCTGTGCTCTCTTCATTATACCAGACAGAGAGGGAACGAGACGTGGCATCTTACGTTCTTACGAAACCTCTATTTACACGGCAATTTAACGCGCAGAATCTACGGAACGATTGGAAGACGATGAATCAACTCGATCCGGTTGCTGCCAAAACGAATGTGTCACGACCGTATCGTTCTTCCCCCGTCGTACGAGTTCTTTCGCCAATATTTCTGTCAAAATCTTTCGTTACGAATCACGAACCCTCAAAGAACAGGTTTCCTTCTTTTTTTGCAAACGTTACATTCGAGTCCGTCGCTCTTCCACCCGGTTTCAAGAAAAGAATACTCGAGAAAGTCTCGAAACGTCTTGCACGACTGCGACCGAGAGCCTTCAAGATTTTGCACATTCCCGGGAGTCTTCAAAGCGTCGAACGTCTCAGAAGTCTCGAAAGTCTGGAAGTCCTAACAGTCTTCGAAGTCTCAAAGGTCTCGAGTGTCTATTAGAGATAGAATCTTCTTTGTATTTCTAATAGCTTCCAAGATAGTATCGGATAGACGAATCTTTCGAGTATAATTTCATCCTTTAAAATTGAACCGGTGAGCTCGCAAATGTACGCCAAGTGTTCGGTTATTCGTAAATAAAATTGGCCCGACTCTGACTACAACGTACGCTCGTCTCGACTTCATGATCGTCCCTCGCGAAGAACCTTTGAAATTAATCGATCATTAACGCTGGACTCGAATTGCTTCTTTCAAGCGCGTCCTGACGCGGTACATTGTCTGGGCCCTCGGTTCGCTGAAAAGTTCACTCGCGAACAATGCGTCCTATTCAACCACGAGCGTGTGTATACAGCCGCGTGTGATTTATGTTGGTTCCTGGCCGTGCATCCACCGGCTGGAATTAAATTACTTTCACGGGGCATTTGCCTTTGTGAAATCGATGCGATCTTTTTTGAGAGGCGTAATCTTATTATTAACAATATGCGCCGGACGTCCGTGTTTCATTAAATCGGACAATACGGGGCCCGAGGACCTGGTACAGTCGATCGTAAAAACAATAATTAAGCTCTAATTAACGACAGGGATAATTGAAGGAGCAAGCTCGGTACGAACGTTCCCAAAATCAAAATATATCGCTTCCTCCATTAAGTAAAACGGGGAATTCTTCCTGAAACAAATCCGCCATTAATGGGCCTAAGTAGCCTGTTTAAATCATTAGGCGCGCGATCCTGTGCTGGTCGGTGACTTTTTAAAAGAATTTCGCTTCCGATTTTCACTTCCACCGCTAAAAATGTTACACAAACTGTACGCACCTATGGTTCCACGTGGACAGTCGATTCCAAAACAAACGAATCACTACTTCGACCGACGCGTGAGAATCATTTCTGCGTGTCCGTCGACGCCCACGCGTCGTGTGTGTTTGCCAAATGGACGGGGAGAAACGATAGGAGGGGGCGAGCGCGACGGAAACCACAGTGCAAGACGGCGAATTTGTGAAATTGGATAAAACTGGCTCGGATAGGACTTCACCCGTCATCGAAGAAACCCCTCGTGGCGAATAAGCTCGTAATAATTCTAGCAACGCGTCCGTGGATCCAGAAAAGCCGCTCTCGCGTAACTCGAGCTGCTTTTTCTCGATTTCCTTTAACGCGCTCCGCCAGTCCGAGAAACTCGTTTCTGCGGAGCTTGTGGTCACGGAACAAGACCTCTCAACATGCATTGTTCGAAATACAACGCCAAGAATAATATTCGAAAAGAAACGTGCAGCGTCTCGGGCCAACATTTTATTCGCGAACAACGAATACAAATTTCAGATTCATTCGAAAACTAACTTCCACGTACGTAGAAAATACATACTGTTATTATTATAAATTTTATATATTATCCGGCACTATATATTCATGCTTGCGATTTATATTATACAGAAATAGATGCTGATAAGTTTCTGAGACACGGTTGTATTTTATTTAGAACGACGAGCGTGTATTAAAAATAATTATATAAACAAACGACTCTTCTCGACCGCGAAACATACGGAAGTATCATTGGGATAAGTCGTTACGAAACGACTCGATACTGAAATTTTTTATCTCGAATGCCTTGAATAGCTTATACTGTTCGAATCATTTCGCCCGAGGGAAGTACACGTTTCAAAGATGGTAATAACACGTTTCGTTTCAAGGTCGCGCGTTTATGGCATCCCGCGGAGCCGGCAAGCTAAAAAATCTTCGCAACGCTGAAAACTTAGAATTCGAAGCTCGTGATTCAATTAGAACCCGACGTATTTAACGAACAGTATTTAATTGCATTTTCCATTTCCACTTTCTTTCATTTCAATTTCTGTATTTCACATTCCTCTTGGAGCTACGACGCGTTGCATCCGTGAAAAAAAATTCCACACCGCACTGCATCGTATTAATTACAAAATTCTATATTCGTTTGCATACAATTCTACAGTTAAGAACTTATGTTGTTAACGTTATTACATATAACAAAGCAGAGGATTTATTTAACATTCGATACGCAGTTGCATTATTGCAATCCCCCTCATAAACTATAGTAATTTTCAATATAAAGTGGCATTGATTGGCCGAGGTTCTTAAACGAAGCATAACATTTAAGGTGTTGTAAGACATCTGGATATAAAAACGATTAAACTATAATTTATATGCAGATAAGTCAGTAATGATATACAGGGTGTTCGGCCATCTCTGGGAAAAATTTTAATGGGAGATTCTAGACGCCAAAATAAGACGAAAATCAAGGATACTAATTTGTTGATTGAAGATTCGTTAAACAGTTATAGAAACATTTCCGGCCACACAGTATATTTTCGGTAAAGAATTTTTTTCTCGAAAACGCGTAGGATTTCGGAGGTATGTCTCTTCACCAAAAATGATTGTAATTGACCCCCGCAACTAAAAATAATTTTTTTAGAACGATTTGAAATTAATTTTTCGCCGAAAAATTAGGCACCTTCTCGAATTTTTTTCTCGAAACTGTATAGGATTTCGAGGGTATGTCTATTCATCGAAAGTAATTGTATTGATCCCCGCAGCTAAAGATAATTTTTTTAGAAAGATTTAAAATTTTTTTAATTTCGCCGAACTACTCGAATTTTTTTCTCGAAAGTGCGTAGGATTTCGAGCAATCAACAAATTGATATTCTCGATTTTCGTCTTATTTTGGCCTCTAGAATCTCCCATTAAAATTTTTCCCAGGGGTGGCCGAACACCCTGTATACGCTTTTTGATAGCCATAAATCGTAACTGGAACAGTGTTATAATTGCGATATCACTATAATTTTCAACGTAGCCATTTCTGGACTCGAATTACCAACAACCAAAATAAACTGGCGACAGCTGATGCTTTGCCAGAATTTTCTGTAGAATAATAATAATAAGTCCAGCCATTTAAATTAAATTTCCTTTAAGGAAATTGAAATGTAAAGAATAAAGTTACGCAAGAGCTACGGCAAAATATGATCCCAATCGAGTTCTCTTCCCAAAGGAAGGTAAATCTACGTCTTTCGTATCTATCGAAAGCTACGAGAGATTTTTGTGGAAGAAGAAACGTTGAATATTTTGTTCCTCGGGGGCTCCATTTTGCACGGCAGATATTTGTTTGGATCGTCGTTCCAGACGTCCATTTATCATTCGATCAGCACCTGCCTACCCGATTAAGAAATGATATCACTGACGTTTTATGGCGTGTACACAATCAAGCCATTCTGAAGCGTCATTACGACCGAATACGTTACAAGTGCCACCATTCACCTGTTGTGTCCGCGTCGGTGCGAGTTCTGTGTAACAGTTTCCTCGTCGTTGCGTGTACGACATAATACAATATAATTTATTCGCTCTACGTTTACCTACTTCGAGGAAACTGGATATTATCGCAACAGCACGAGAATCCCTCGTAAGGCTGCATCCACGCTGTGTTCCTCATTATAAATACACGATGGGTGAAATTCGTGGAAGGAATTTTGTGGCAATAAGCTAACAGACACTGTAATTTCAATCGAACATTTGTCCATCGATTGTTTACATCTATCTATCGTTCAAACGCGAGGATCACGATACGAGAAATGTCCAACGAAAAAGAAAACCAGCGTTCAACAAGGATAACCACCATGAAAATATGGTACTCTAGCAAGGTGACGAAGCAAGTACTGATGGTAACCATTACGATTGAATGGACATTTTCTGGGTGGTCTACCCAGCTAGCCACCGTGCTGCAAAGAGTTAAGTCATCGGCAATCATCGTCTCGCCAATCCAGTCGGAAGTCGAATCGCGCCTGAGTATCCGTGATAACGTCGACAAGCAACCTTTTTTCGTTGTACATACGCATAACGCGGTTCAAAGGTTACGCATTCGATACATTAGAAGCTGGATATCTCGAAAACTGTTGGTTTTACGATAGTTGCGCGGCACAGCCTCCGCTGTTCGTATCGAAAACATTAAAAATTTCTGGAAAATCGAGGGGAAGACTTTAACATTGGCGAAACGTCGTAAACTTTTTCCAGGAGGACCTAGATTGGCCTTCGCGAGGCGCAAGAAAATATAAACGAACCTCGAAGACGTTGGCTACTTGTAATATTGACGAAACGTCGTAAACTTTCTCCGTCGGACCTTAGGTTGGACTCCAAAGACCCGGGGATCGCGTTCGACGGAAAAAACACGCGAGAAGCATCGTCGAGGAATCTCCCGAGGACGCGAAGGTGCCGTCAGCTGGCTACGATGTCGATAAAACGTTAAACGCTTTTCCCAAAAGGGGTCCAGGGGGTTTTAGAAGGTACTCGAACGGTACTAACTGCAGGAAGTTATGCTCGCAGGGGTCGCGGGGGCGACGGTAAAATTGTCAGCGAAGCCTTGTGGCGTTCCTCGACCGCGGAAAAAGGAAGGACGACGTTTTCCGGTCGCGACAGGCGGTTTCCCCTGCTTTCCGCGTAACGGAGGGTGAACGACGTAATAGGAACTAGAGGAATCCAAGCAACGACGCTAGATCAACTGCAAGGTCAATGATTTTCCGAGCGGACCGATGAACTTGCGCTTCGCGGGTACATGCGCCGGAGTGCATCCACGGAGAGCCACGACCAGAGAGGGAGAGAAAGAGAGAAGGCAAGGTCGTTGCCTAGATAACAGTTGCGAGGTACAGTTGGCTCGCATGCCTGAAACCATAAGACCAGACGATCGTACCAGAAGGGAAAGGGCTTTGGGGAACGCCGCGAGACTCTGCGCGACATGAATTATTTTTGCCCTTCGGGTTCGACGATTTCTCAGCGTTACGCGCACAGAGACAACGGGAGCGCACCAGTAGAGATGGGGATTAATATTGGGATAGAAAATGTTCGACTGCAAAGTATGAACGTTATGAAAAATGGAGAAATACGATCGAGGACCCCGGAGAAAAACATGGACAGCCTTCGAGAACTTTAATAAGATAACCTGAGAGATCTGATCAAATAGATAAGATCGAGATACCACCTATGTCTATAAACGATCTTCCGTGGGTCGTTCGATACTGCTTAAAAGAAGTAAAGAACAAGATACAATCGGTTTTAACGAGACTTTACGTGTTTGCAAAGGGACGCTTATTTCTTGAGCCGTGGTCAGCGTAAACAAATTTTGTATTCTACTCTTACCATGAAAATTATGTTAAAATTACATTGATTCGTTAAGTCACTTTATCGAGATTCCTATTACATCATGGTACCCCATGGGACGGATCTCTCGAGCTCCCAAGCAATACCTGTTCTGCTTCTTACCTCAATCCGATCCGTAACTATCATGTTACTCTACTAATGCTCGCTCCAACCGTTTACAATCGTCTCTTCTCGACGTCGTACAGTTAAATTCAACGACTCCTGATACAACGATTCGTACGAGAGAAAAATCGGACGGACGGATGAACCTTTATTAACAATCGAGGTCTTACGATTCTACGTGAAAGTTGCCCCGGCGACACGCAACTTCGAGTTATGCGGATGGAACAAAACCATACGTCGCGTGACCGAACCTCGTTATTTTTCATCTAATGGTTTAATTATCTTATATTTCGTTCGCAATAAAACTCCCTGGCTATTGTTTGATCGTGACGCAACAGTTCATAACGCACGAACCTTCCACGTCCCACCGAACAGACAATAAAGATTTCCGTGGGTGTAATTCTGATTTCGATTCTGGTACGGCGCTTTCGCAATTTATTCATTGTTCACGGACTTCGGAGTTTCCACGTAACACCTACTTTTCGTCGACGTTAATAATTGGTTTTCGAAAAATCCGGCACACTGCCTTGTATCTTCGATATCTATATAAATATTCTGCTCGTTTTTGCGAATTCCATTATTCGATTCGTATCGTATATCTCACGTATCTCTTCCAATTTGATCGCTATATTACAGAGTCCTCGTGT